AAGGCTGAGGCGGAAGGATCGCCGGAGCCCAGCAGGTCGAGGCTGCCGTGGCCGGGAGCATGCCACTGCCCTCCAACCTGGGCGACAGAGTGAGACTCCAACTCAAAAAAAAAAGTTAGAGTTAAGGGGGGTCTTCCTATGTTGCCCAGACCGGTTTTGAACTCCCAACCTCAAGCCAGCCTCCAGCCTTGGCCTCCCAAAGTGCTGGGATTAGGGGCAGTGATCTGAGGTGTCAGTTTTGTTCCCATGCTGTCCAGGTCTCCAACACCAGCTGTGTGTCCTATAATTCAGTTTGATTCTGACAGTATCTGCCTGGAGGTAAAGTCAGAGCCCACATGGTGAGGACTCAGTCCCGTGAGACTGTCACCCCCTTCGGGTGCCAATAGCAAATCTGGGCCTCTAGAACTTTTTTTTTTAAAGAGACAAGGTCTCATTCTGTTGCCCAGGCTGGAGTGGAGTGGAGCCATCATAGCTCATTGCAGCCTCCAACTCCTGGGCTCAAGCGATCCTCCTGCCTCAGCCTCCCAAAGTGTTGGGATGATAGGCGTGAGCCACCATACCCAGCCATAACATCCGTTATCATAAACTGGTCAATGTAAAGTTAAGTATTTCCCTGGGTCTTGGGAATCTCTCTAACAAACAATCGAACCTGAGGAGAAAACTGTAGAAAGCACTAATTTATAGCCAGTTGCTCAGAAGTTCCAATAGCCTCACCTGGCATCATGGCTCGTGCCTGTAATCCCAGCATTTTGGGAGGCAGAGGCTGGAGGATTGCTTGAGGCCAGGAGTTCAAGACCAGCCTGGGAATCACAGCAATACCTCCATTTCTTCAAAAACTAATAAAATTAGCCAGGTGTGATGGCACATGCCTGTAGTCCCAGCCTAACAGAAAAATGTTAAAAAATTAACTGGGTGTGGTGGCACATGCCCAGAGTCCTAGCTACTTGGGAGTCTGAGAAGGATCGCCTGAGTCCAGGAGGTTGAGGCTCTGGTGATCTGTGATTGTGCCACTGCACTCTAGCCTGGGTGAGAGTGAGACCCTGACTCAAAAATGTTACAAATGAAGGTTTTGTCACAGGGGTATGTGGATTGCTAACTCCATATCCAGCCTCTCTCTTCCCAGAAGATAGGCGGTGGGTCCAGAAGCTTCAAACTTCTCGTGGTGGTCTGGGCTTTTTTTTTTTTTTTTTTTTTTG